CAGCACTCATTATGATCTTCTCAGCAAAACTGTGTTTTAAGTGTCAAAGAGGAGATTCGTCCTCATCTCCGTTAGGCAGATTGTGATTGCAATTTCTGCTTTTCAGTCCTAAAGACAAAGCAGTCCCTCCCCCATGAGTAAGAAAGGAAGTGAGCTCTGGTGAGAACCTTTGGTCTAGATGGGTGGGATAGAAATCCAGTCAATCAATCAATCAATCAATCAATCAATCAATCAATCAATCAATTAATCAATCAATCAATCAATCAATCAAAAGCTTTGCCTAAGGCATACCAATTGAAAAGAGATCTGTGAACAATTGCAACAGGATAATTTATCATAGTAGTATGAACAGCTACCACAATTTCACCAGTGGAAACCAGCAGGGACTCTGTCTGAAAAATCTTGAAGCAAGCTGGGTGTTCCTCCCTGAGTAGCTGCACCCTTAGTATATAGCATTCTGATTGACGATGTGGATATTGATTGTGGTCTGAATTCCCCAGAGTGAGTAAGCTTCACTATAGCTTCAAATTTCTGTTTTTGTTTGTTTATTCATTTTTTGCTTTAAATGGAAGGATTCCCTAGACACACATACAGTCATTGGAAATAAAATTGTGCCTAAATGGAAGGATTCCCTAGACACACATACTGTACAGTCATTGGAAATAAAATTGTGCATAGTGTGAATGAGACAGATAGGCAAAGCTCTTCTCCTCATGGCCTACTCGTGGGCTTTGTGCAAACGGAACACTGGACAATAGAGGCCAGATATACAGATCCAGCTAAGCTCTTATGTTTTCTGTCCATCATACCCATGTGGCAGCAGCTCTGTAGCAATCCACAAAACAAATATGTGGAATTTCTCTTCGTGTTCATAGCCAGTTTAGTTACTGCCAACCCATAAATGACTAAGAGAACTTGGGTGGAGATGACTGGGAATGCAGTCTTTCGGTGCAAAGGGCAACAAAGTAAAGAATACACTGTAGGAAATAGTTGGGGATTGGTACAGGGAAGGGAGTAGCCTTAAAAGTATTTGCTTCTAGGACTGACATCCTCTCACCTAAGCAGGATGTGTTCAGCAAGGGGATACAGCAAGAAGCACAATCTCTTAAGATACATAAACATGTTTGCATGAAAACATGGGAATGCATTCATATGACCAACCAATGATAGAAGTTTAACTGTTTAGTTATACATTGAAACTGTTGCTTTCCTCAGTAGCTCAGCTGGAATTCCATATGAAAGTTAGAAATCAAGCTAACAGCTTTAGAACACCTTGGCCCTCACCACTCAATTTACTGATAAAAGCAGAAGCCATGTATATATACTGGGGAGAGAGAGAGAGAGAGAGAATCTGTGTTCTTGTCAAAATGTACATGCTTAGGGAGTGCACTGATGTAAAATCAGCAGTTATATATATTTCTTGTGTAGATGCTACCAGGGTTCCAAAGGCAACCATACTGTATTCTAATCTTCTAATTCTGTTCACATGGTTGAGCAGTAAATGCCCAAATGCCTCTCATCATAAGAATGAGCATTCAGTTAGTAGTCCAAATAAACCTGTGAAGTCTGGTCATGGTAAAAAAAAGTTCAAAACTTCAGCCGATGGTATGATCGTGATCATGTATGTTGTCTGCCTTTTCTCACATTCTGTAAATCTACTTCTCCCAGGACTGATGAGCTTAGTTGCAAACAGGTGGGGCATACAACAAAGCACATCACACTACCAGTGTGAATATGGGTGAATTGTCTTAATATGCTGGAACAGCCATTTTGGTGACTGCTTCCTCTCACTTTTTATGTGATTGTAGAGCAACACCTAGTGTTCAAAATAATGAATCTCTAGCATTCATTTTAACAGCTGTCTTATGGAAAAGAATATTTTTGGCCAATGTGAAGACACTAGAAAATAGATGGTATGGGTTGACAAGGTGTCACATCTGGAGACAATTCTGAACACATGCAGTAAATCTGGCTTTTTTTAAATGAGTGATTGAAAAATAGACAGCATGGGCCCAGGTTTAAATCTCATATCAACCCAAATTCAGGGAGTGACAACGTCAGCTATTCACCTTGCAATTTGCATTGGATTGGATGCAGATAAATTTGAATTAAAACCTGGTGACTACATGACATAAATCTCAATGTAGGAAGCCCATTGTGAGAGTCTCTTTTGAGTTGGGATTTATCTTTTTTGCTCTGGTGGCAGGAATGATTTAATTTTTTTTCCTGTTCAGGATTACATCACTTTTGCCTGCTTTCTTGCCCAGTATGATTGTCTGATCCAATGCAAAAGGAAGCTCATAGAGATGTCAGTTCCCTGCAACTGATTTCCCCTTGCCTCCAAACTTATATATATAAACTTGTACAGTATATATAAATATAGCACTAGAATATACTATCACTAGGGCACTTGGAGAACAATAAAAAAGAGAGGTGGAAATGGCCAATTAACACCTTGCTGCCATCTTAAAGCTACTGGATTTCCTTGTGAACCAAGCTCTCTACCTCTGCCCCTGTGGACTGCTGCAAATTGTTGTTGGATGGCTACAGTGAATGCACCTACGGAAACCTGATTTGATAAACCACAGATCACTGTGGATCAAACCATATTTTCCCCACAGTGTACTCACACCCACTCAGTGGTCTTGGGCAAGCTACTATCTCTTGCCTTGGGCAGCTTTCTGCAACAAGATTCACATTGACCTGATTTGCACCACTAGACATCCTAAAAAGCTAAAATTAAAGCTGAATGTCCTAAGTTTCCTAATCATGACAATTAGGAATGGAATTTTTGTGGTGGGGGACTTCTACTCTCTTAATTCAGAGAAAATGCCTAGGCCAAATTATAAAAATAAAATGCTTCAAGAGCGGCAGGGGGTAAAATAGCCCCTTTATCTCCCTGCCATTCCCACATTGTGTTAAGTAGGAAGAAAAGCTCCCCACTGTAGTGTGCGAGTTGTAAGGATTCCCCACAACTCACAAAGGTTCATAACAGAGCAAATCCCAATGGAGGGCTACAGTAGAGCTACATTAGCAAGCTACAGACAAAGCTATTAATTTCCTCCTCTCTCCCTGTGTGGTCAGTTAACATGAATTGACTTAGGAAGCCCAACTTCATAGATGTGGCTTCACCGTGAATCAATTTACATTTGTCTTTCTGGGTGATCACACCCTATTATTCACTTATCAGAATAAGGATGGCCTTCCAATTACATTGGTCAGGACAGATAGGAGGAGAGGCTACCAATTGTGCTCTTAAAGAATATCCCACAACTTCGCTCCCTTACATCCTTCCTCCATCACACCATTATGTGCAATATGTTGGTACCTGTGTGCTTCACACATGCACAGGTACTGTATCAAAGACAAGATGGGATTCACAGGGACTGTTCTACACATCCAGTGAAGTTTCACAGCCTAGTCTTGCTCACTGTCTGAACAACAGGCCACCTACCTGTTCTCAGACAGATATCTGTACATTCATGAGAAAAGGTTCCATACATGTGTAGAACTACATCTGAAGAGAACTTCTATTCCTGGTCAGGCAACTGAAGAGAACTTCTGTTCCTGACCAAGAACTCTTTGCCTCCACTGTCCAACAGGTGCTGTGAGAAGAAGGGATGAAATGGCTCACAGCTCTCAGGGCGTGCAAGGCTTCTTGGGTGGGCATTCACTGAACACCCAAATGAATTTGTACATGAACATCCTCAAAGTGTTTTAGACCTTAGCAGAGGATTCAGCACACTGAAAGTAATGTGTTTGTCATGCAATAACTCCATTGAATATTAAGATTAGATTCTAGAACCAAGATTTGTACATATGGTCAGAACACAAATCCATTTCTCAAGTTCAATTTGCAGTCTGATCGCTGCAAACACATCAATGTGACCTATGCTTCAACATTTCACAGGGGACAACAGAAACATGTTTATAGTATCTCTGTTATATTAAAGGTTGTTAGATATTCCCACACCCTACTTGCCAAAGATTTGACTCCATTGCTGTGTATATTATAGCCATTTACTTTTCAGTATATTGTCCTGCATTTAATTAAAAGCTAAGAGTGTGTTTAGTTTAGGGTTATATATATAAGAGAAAGACACAAGACGTCAAGAAAACAGCATGAGAAGAAAAGTTAATTCCCCCTCCCTCAATGTCATAGTTCTTGTCTTAACTAATATTATCCTGTTAGTCCATGTTATCTGCCAACAGTTAATAGACAAGGAGATCCAGCATGGCTATTCGAAGTCTCATCTAGTTTGGATTTTGGTGTTTATATTTACGAATATATTTAATGTCTCTGCCTTCAATTTCAGAATCAGAAAAAGATGAAAAAACAGACAAATTTGGGGAACTGGACTTACTTCCTGATAGTGAAACTGACCCTCATTGTAGTGGCCGGAAGGAGCCTTTAAGATTCAAGCTAGGACCCTCTTGGACATCTTCAAGCACTTCATCCTGAGGTGATTTATCTCTCAATGATTAAAATATTGGCATGGTATGCACATTTAGGACACTGTTCTACAGGATAAGTCTAACTCTACCTCAGTCCTCACACTCATTTTCACGGCGGTCAGGAAAAGTGTGAAGACCAACACAATGTGAAAGTATGTATTTTTAACAGTAGTGGATATTAATACTCTTTTGGCAGGAGTTGTGTTTAACCTTTGGAAGCATTACAACATGACAAGCACACTTGATGAAATCCTTTTAGCAAAGCAATGCTTCAAGGCTTCAATCTTACTCTGTCTATAAATATGTAGCTCTGGGGAATGCCTGTACGACAAGCCTCCTGCCAGGTTGAATCTTCATAATCTTTAGTAGTATGGAACTGTGTTATCTCCCAGACTGAAGCTCCTGCACTAATCTAGGAGGTGTTCTCTTTCTGCTCTAATTACAGGTTGCAGTACAGTGCACGGCGAGTGTGGTAAGACTTACAACCACAAGCACGTCAAATAACAGAGTATGAGCAACTTAATCCACAAGCTGCTGGAGGAGGGCATGCTGTTTATCCGAAGCCAAGAGTGGGCTGGACAGCAGTGGCTAAGAAAAGAAACCCAGCAAGAAGAACAGGAGAGGCAAGCAACGTTGCCCACAGCCAAAACAAGACAGCACAGAAGAGACTCCAAGGACTTTAGAGAAGACAGAACAATAAATTACAAAAGGGTACCCAATTCTAAGGTAACAGCTTTTCCCTTGTAATAACTGTAATTTGAAAAATGAAAACAAGAGGTCTTGCCCTGTTATGAAACTTCCACCAGGCTTCCTTTCACGAAAACAATTCCTCACCACCCCGTGATTTACCAGGCCCCGTACAGCTAGCAAGTGCTTAATGATCCCCCTCCCCTTTCTGCTTGCTTAGGCAGGAGGTTTATATGTATCAGTAGTTTTATCCATGGGACTAGCAGCAACAAGGGGCAACTTAGACTGTGGAAACTGTGCAGGTTTCCTTAAGGCAAAAGATAAACACTTCCCAGAACTACTACTATTATGTTGTTGTTGTTTCAACTCAAAACTTTCAAACCGCCTGCCCCTGTGGTTATTTTCAAGTTGTTGGACTTTGTTTCATTGTCGAAAGCACAAATTGCCTGACTCACAAAATCAACATGTTGTGTAGCTATAACTGTTGTGTGAAATTTCCATCTCCTCCAAAACATGTATCTCTCTTTCATGAAAAGGTAGACTTGCTTAAGGCAAGCATGCAGCAAATAAATGTGGGGTGGTATTTTGTTTCTTTGTTTTCATTTGTCTCTCCAGCAAACAACAGTTCCTGGCTGATAGGCACTCAGATCCTTCAAACAGATGTTTTCCTCAACCATCATTGTTTTTTTTAACTGCAATATCCTTTCTTTGCTTTGTAAAACTGAATGAGAAAGAGAGGACAACTGATTTGTAGAATGTTAATGAAAGGCTTACAAGCCTGGAAAACTTTATTAGAGAACCTCCACTTGCGTCAACTCATTAAAAAGAACAGAGTCCAGAACTGGAGGTGGAAGGAATTATGTTTCACACTCCTGCATGCTCTGATTTCATGATGCAAACAAAAATTATCTCCTGGGGAGGAGATAGTGTCCCAAATAAACCCAGCTGCCTATGAGGAGAAGTGAAATTAACAGTTCCACACACCTTTCATAAATGATATTTCCTAAAATACATATCCCCATGAGGGAAGGTTAACTTCTTAGATTCCAATGAAATATGAAATAAAGAAATATTCCAGCAGTGCCATTTTCTAATTAAACATAGAAACTTCTACCGAGCTGCCCTCTTATCACCTGAGGTTTATTAGAAACATTCACTTTCAGGGTCAAATTAAACAAGGCACTGAACTCAAAATTAGCAGATTATTTTGATCCTCCCTCCAAAATACAGTGCCTTCAGAGCCTCATGCCTGTGTAATGAGATTTGCAAATAAAGCCCTTGTTTCCCTCTCCACGACCAATCACCAAACAGCAAGCTAATTTTCAAAATGCAGAGCTGAGAGAAGTGCTAGGACAAACAGATGCCTCTGATCCCTTTAGGAAGCACCACTTCTAAATGCAGAGCTGACTGTCTCACCATGATTGGCCTCAGATTGAGCTACTTACATCAGCTCCAGGAAGACTAAAAACTTAGTCTTCCTGGAGCTGAAGACTCCAGGAAACCGACTTCCTAAAAACTATCAGAAGCTATACTTTAGACTTATGATTATCCAAAGAGAAACAACTCCATCAGGCCACCCAAAATCCTAATTAAAATTTAGTCATATTTCATCATTAGGCCAGTCATTAGGTTTTTATTTGTTTGTGGCCCTTAAAACTCTCCAAAATAAAATTTGCCTTTAAGCAGCTTATGGTTTGGAAACTTAGTTCATGTCATTTTGAACAGTGTATCCGTGTTAGTCTATTTCAGCATGTATAGAAAATCCAGGAACAGAAGAATTGTGGCACCTTAAAGACTAATAGATTCAGTTCAGTGTGAAGCTTTGTGAATTAAAATCCACTTCCTCAGGCACATGGGGCATAATAGTTGGGCCATCGGTTTTCCCCATTGAGCTGTTGGCTTGTGAACATGGAACTCCTTGTCGCCTATGGTAACAGGCAAAGTGTTAAATCTGATTTCGGTATGAAAGTCCTTTTCTTTCTTTCTTTTGCTTCTAGAAAGACTATTTCTGAGGCATCCAATGCAGGAGATCAGAAAGCAGGAATGAATCATGCTGGGAGCCATTCCTCGAAGAACCACAGCTCAGAAAGCAAACAGCATTACAAAACACCAGCTCTCTCTGAGCTGCAGAGGCTGGTGTGGAATAGAGGAGGATCGGACAATCATGTGGACCAAGTGTGGCCAAACCTCTACCTTGGAGATGCGTAAGGGAATGTAGGAATTACTTGCCAGTTATTTACCTCGCAGAAAGGAAGCAGGGGGTTAGATTAAAGAATTTATTCTCTTCCCATTGATTTCTGAAGCTGTCCTCATTCCAGTGGTTTCAGTGGCAAGGTCAAATTTGTGGGCCTTTAGAAGTAAGCAGTCATACTGAAATATAGGTTGATTCCTCAAACAGCTACAGGTAGCCTGTGTGGTGCCATGTTATGGACATTAGCCTTGTTGCATTTGCATTAGGGAAAACAATGGTGCAATTGTTTTCTTTAATCAAAGGCCCATCTTTATGGAAAGTACTGTGGCCAGCTAGCTGCCTTCTGGAAGTTCACATATTCTCTGTGATTCTGTAGTAAGTATTATTGACCCCATGCAAAATCAACCTCAACTCTACAGAGCACTTTTTCTACCCCGTGGATATGTTTTACATTTGAAGAGGACAAGCATGGTTCAGTCAAAGCTTACGAAATATGTATAGGTTAACAACCATAGGTTTAGGCCATCGCCCTTAAAAAGAATAATAATGTGTTCCTATTACTCTTTGAAATATTTAAAAAGAAGCACGTTGTCTTGTGACGATGTTGGAAAAGTAGTTAAATTACATTACTGGTTGTGCTTTCTGATTACTTCCCATTGCTTTTCTAGGGGTGCAGGACTAATGAAAGAATGGCATGATAGTTGAAAAATTCACATCTATATATCTCTTTACATATAAGACCTTAAAATGCACTTTAAAAGCAATGTTTGAAAGTAACTAGGAAGCATGACTCTTAACTCCAGTATGATAAGCTCAATAATATGAATTACATTACTTTAAGTGTAACTTTATTACACTTACTTTGCTCCCAAAGTAAGTTTGTATAACTAATTACCTTAACTGTAATCCAGTACTTTCACAATCTACTACTACCCTACCAAAAATTTAACAGGTAAAACTCCTCCTGGCGTTGAGATAAGCGGTGGCTTCTAAATTTTGTTTGTTTACTTGCTATTTAATGACTGAAATGAAGTAGTGAGTAACAGGTAGAACAGGCCTATTAAATCAGTGGGGATTTGGTAAATCAACTCCGTAAGTCCCATTGATTCAGTGGACCTCCTCTAGTTCTGGCTTACTACTGGAGCTCATAAATCTCCTTTTCCAATCTCAGCTTCTTCTTTCAAGTTACTAAGGGAAACATGCACGATTGTACCTCCCGATGCATATAGTCATTGCTGTCTTGCGTGGTAGGTTAGTCTGGAACAGTGTGTTCAGCACCATTTTTCCTACCAAAGAAAAAGAAAAAAGTAGTCATAGCAGTAGTTATGGGGAACATCACCAAATGACTTTCCACATTTTTGGAATATTTGACATTATATTTATAATATCTATCTTCATATATTTACTCACAAGCAATTTATTGTACATTTAGTGGTTTATCCCTATATACTGTATGTCTGTGTGTAAAGTACTATCAGCTTTTAAATACACAGATCAGAGGAAAGCAAGCCTTCTAATGTACCTTCTAGTTTACAGTTACAACCGTGAGAAAATCAGCGTCGGGTGCGTTCTAGGACTTTGAGGGATGGGTGGCGAAGCGTTCTAGGACTTTGAGGGATGGGTGGCGGAGAATTATCCTGATCAAAGATTGCAAATAACTACTTACTAACCACATAACTACCTGTAATAGGTTAATTTTAGAGCAAGCGGTGGTATAACTAGCATATGAAAAGTTACTTTTAAATGTAACTAATTATAACCAAGCTATTGAGGTACAGCATGTAACACCTAGTTACCTTTTAAGGGCACTTTAAGGCATTTTAGAGACCTTTTTACAGAACTTTTTCCCCCCAGTTTTCTGATTTTTACTTATCAATCTTAAGGAGCAAGAGAAGCACTATTTATTTCTGCGTTGTATTTTGGTTAATATTTCAAATGTGCAAGATCAGAATTGGCTAGCAGACAACACAAGACTAGGGTAATACACAGAGCATTAAAATATTTGCACCATCAGAGCAAAGCTAGTGGCAAAAGCCTTGGTTGCTGAGAAGCCACAAGTAATATCGA